GACCCCACGTCATCCCCAGTGCCAGACTCAAGGAGGGGAGGACGGCCTTCAGCCAGTAGGTTCCAGCCCCTGGAGGCCAGAGCATCTCTGTCCTGGCCAGAGAGAGCAGCCTTGAGCCACCTGCCACGCCCATGCCGGCATCCCTGCCCCTCAGCCACAAGCAGTGGCGTCTCTCCAGCAGCTGTCTGTTTACCCAACGCTCAAGATTTGCTTCTTCAAACCCAACCACTAGTACAAAGTATCAACTCCCAAATAACCTGAAGCTGAAGGTCACACGATACGCCTTCAACAGGGAGCTACAGGGGGCTCTCCTGTTTCATCCTGATCAGGAAAACTTCACAAGGATGTTTCATTTGTCAAAACAACCCCTGCGAACTCTTTTGGAATAACATAATTCATTTTCCTTGCTTGAGTAGCATTTCAAGTAGAAGTACTTTTATTTCAAGGCACCGTATCAATCTCTTCTATGGGTGTCTCTCTAAGAACACCCTGCCTCCATGTGTAAAAATCCTAAAAAAAAGAAAAAAAACCACACAGTGATGACAGCCATTCACAAACTTTCACTCACGTGACTGTGTTCACTGGGACACAGGTTCCAGGAGGCTGGATGCCACAGTTATAATTGACATTAACATTTAGACTCTGTTATAATTGGAACAGAGCCCCCCACTGAGGCCCCCCAAAGGACAGAGAGTTTAACAGAACACTTAGAAAGAGCTGGTGAGGTGGGGGACCCTCAAGACCAGAAATCCATGTCAACGTGGCAGCGTTGGCGTCCCTCCCCACTGTCCTCACTTCTCTTCCTCCTCCTCGCTCAGGTTGGCATTCCCCTGGAGTGTCGATGTCAGCTTGCTCTGCAAGAGGGCTGCCAGCTTTTTGGATGTCTTTTTGAGGAGCGCGCTGCCCGGGTGGGCACTGTTCACGTGCAGGTACAGGTCCTCCTGGGTGGGGCCGGTGTAGCCGCAGTCCTCGCAGACGTACAGCTTGTCCCGGCGCTGCTTGTAGGCATACTGCTGCTGCACCCCGTGGATCTTCTTCAGGTGGGACTCCAGGGAGCAGCGCTGGGTGAAGGCTTTGTGGCAGACATCACATTTGTAGGGGCGAATGCCTGCAAGGGGAGGGGCAGGCATAGCACCGGTTGGTCCCAGCCAAGCCACAGATTCCAGCCTATGAAGCCATTAAAAATCACCATGCACAACCCAACAGCAAAAAACCAAACAACCCGATTCAAAAATGGGCTGAGGATCTGAATAGTCATTGGTCCAAAGAAGATCGACAAAGGGCCAAAAGACACATGAATAGATGCTCACTGTCACCAATCATCAGAAAAATGCAAATCAGAAACACATAGATATGAGACATCACCTCACGCCTGTCAGAATGGCTATCATTACAAAAATGAGATAATAAAGGCTGGTGAGGACGTGGAGAAAAGGGGGCCCTGTGCGCTGCTGGTGGGAATGTAAACTGGTGCAGCCAATATGGAAACCAGTATGGAGGGTCCTCGAAAACTTAAAGGTACAATTTACACGTGATCCAGCAGTCTCACTCTGGGTCTTTATCCAAAGGAAATGAAAACAGGATCTCAAAGAGATATCTCCACACGCATGTTCACTGTAGCATTATTCACAGTAGCCAAGACATTATTCACACAAGCCAAGCTAAGTGTCTCTTAACAAATGGATTAAAATTAAATGGATTAAAAAAAGATGTGGTACATAATGGATGGACCCGGAGATTATCATACCAAGTGAAGTAAGTCAAAGACAAATATCATATATCACTTATATGTGGAATCTAAAAATATGATACAAATGAACTTATTTACAAAACAGAAGGAGACTCCCAGATAGAAAACAGACTTACGAATACCAAATGGAGACAGGGCGGGGGCACGGGGGATAAATTCGAAGTTTGGGATTAGCAGATACAAACTACTATATACAAAATACATTAACAACAAGGTCCAACAGGGAACTACATTCAATATCTTATAATAATCTACAATGAAAAAGAATATGAAAAATATATGGAACTAAATCCCTATGCTGTATACCAGAAACTAACACAACATTGTAAATGAACTACACTTGAATTTTTTTTTTAACGTGGACTATGTACACACACACACACTGGATTATTCAGCCAGGAGAAAGAAAATCCTACCACTTGCAACATGGATGGATCTTAAGGCCATTTTGCTCAGTGAGATAAGCCAGACAAAGACAAAACCTGTGTGCTATCACTTACAAATCAGAAAAGTCAAAGCCCCAGAAACAACAGGAAAATAGTTGGCAGGGGCTGAGGGGTGGGGGAAACAGGGAGACAGAAAAGATCACCAGGACCGAGGATTAGCATGAGGAAAATGATTAAGGCAGGAGACAAAACTGTCCACAAAGGTTCCCAACATCCACATGAGCAAACATAATAAAAGTGGATGCAAACACAGCAAAATACCGCCACCCGGCTTCGGGGGGAGGACTCTGTCTTCCCACGTGCACGCCCTACTGTTTTGGTCTTACAGTGGGCAAAGTAAACCTTGTTTTTTATTTTAGTCTGGGTTTTCCTGGAAAAGGAGTTATTGGGAGGTGACCCCAGGAAGGGTGATGCAGGAAAAGTGGGAGGTGACTCCCCACCTTCAGGGGAGGGGAGAAGTAAGAAGGATGGGGGGGAATGGGGGTGGAGTCATCCAGCCAGTTGCCAGTTGCTGGGAGACCAGAGCCCAATGGGCCAGGCAAGGTGGGAAACTGTAGCACACACACCTCCGAGTCACCCTGCCCCTCGGGAGCGGGGCTCTTTGTCCACCTGCTCCTTGTGCTCCGGCAGCGCTGTGGAGGGCGGCCCCAGGAGGCACTGGCTCCCTCCCCAGCACTTCCGGTCTGCCCATAGGTAGGGTGGGCTCCAACAAGACCACCCCCAGGCAGGGCTGCAGGTGTGGGCAGCTGCAACATCAACAGATGTGCCCAGAAATGGCAGGGGCAGGACACTGATGGTGTCGGCTACAGTTAGGAAAGCATTTCCAACCTAGCTCTTGTGCTGGCTTCAGCATCAAGCTAATATGAGTGGGGACTGCCTTCCAGATGGACAAGTCACACGCACCATATAGAGCAGTCAGCTCAGCCTCACTACATCCCAGTCATTCCTGTGCCCACCACGGGAACCCTGACTGTGTGAGATGAGGATGGCAGGTAAGGAAATGGAAATAGGTCTATCTCAGGCTATAAAGGGGGCAGGGGGGGGATACTGG